TATTGCTTATTCCCCTAATATTCAGCGGCTTTACCGGTCCTTCCGCTCCTAACTCACGCGCTAAGTCGTCATCGATCAACGAAATAGTCGAACCTTCGTCGAGCAACGCGTACGTGTCTATTTCCTTACCGTGTGGTCCACGTAACGTAATGGGACACACTTTCAACAATACGGATGCATTCCTACCGACGTTAGACGCGACGAGTACGGTCTCATCCGGTTTGGCCGATGTCTCAGGTGCGCGGGTCTTGCGGGTGTGAAGGAGGGCGTGGTGGGGGGCGTTGCAGCCGTCGATGCCGCATTTCTTTGCTTTACATTTAAACCGTCGGTGTTTACTATTTAAACATAGAAAACATACCCCGTCTTCTTTTACCCAATTCCACCGGTCGTCCACACCCATTTGCGCTAACTTCCTACACTTGGCGATCGCGTGTTCACCTCCGCAGCACATACAAGAGGCACTACCGGTGTCCTCCTGTGCGGTGAACGTTTTTACGTCGCGAGCCCTATTCTCTACGCGGCGTGTCACTATCCTTTTCGACGGCGGCGGCTCTCGTCTTACGGGCGATTCCTTAGTCGGCTCTACGGACGTATAGGCATGACTCAACGCACGATCAGCCTCTCTCATCATGAACCTGGACAGTGTAACGATGTCCGGCTCGTCTGCACTCCCGTAGTGCTCCGCATAATCACACCAACGCGACCGTAAGTGAGGGCTTAACTTACTCGTTACCTCCCTAGTAAGCATTGGATTTTGCAAATATCCCTTGCCGTCGACGTTTTGCAAAATGCACACGATATTTTGCAACTTTATTGCGAACGCATTTAATTCCTGTGCGGTTTGACCCGGGCGCGGAAGGCGTTTCAATTCTTCTAACGCGCGATCGATAATTACTTCTGGGCGGCCGAAACACTGCTCTAATGTTCGCATAATATCTGCTGGATCCTTCGCGGTAAACAGCAGTGCCGATACTACTTCCCTAGCTTCACCGCGTAAGCAATTTCTTAACCTTGCCATATTTTCCGTATCTGAATCCATATAGACGCGTGGATTCTTTCATCGCGGCTTTGAACGCTAACCATTCCGCGGCCGAACCGTTAAAAATAGGCAAGTCCTGCGTCTGCTTCGCGGCAGCGGGCCTAACTCTGACCATATTCTCCAGAGCTTCCGCTAGTCGCTCTATACCCCTATCCTTTCCTCGCGGAGTAAGCGACCTATCTCTATCCCTATCTCTCTCTAGCCTACGCTGTGGCGCTGGCGTCCTATGCGCACCTACATCCCTATACGGCGACGATAATCTACGATCCGTGCGGCGATGTGGCGATGGCGATCTACGTACGCCTACATCCCTATGCGGCGACGGTGATCTACGATCCGCGTGGCGATGTGGCGATCTATGTGTAGGCGATAGAGTGCGGCGTTGGACGCGCGACGGCGACGTAACCCGTACACGACGATCCACCTGGTTCATTCCTACGGCGACTCCATCTTCCCTCTGTACCGAATCTATGCGGCGCGGTTGAACGTTATTCGCTTCCGTCCTCCCCTGGGCATCTTCACTGTGGTCGTAACCGGTTACCCTGTTCGGTAGGGTCTGCTCTAACTTGATGCGGGGCGCGGGCTGAGAGGGGCGGGAAGGCGACTCCCCCCGCACAGTCTCTACGTTCTCTAACCACCTATCAACGCGTACCCTATTTTCAACTAACTCGTCTTCGTTGACACTTTCCCTATCTGTTTCTTCTTGCAGTTGCGCGACGTCCCTAGCGTACTTCTTCCTAATAAGATCTTCTTCCAACTGCAATTGCTTCTTCCTAATTGCAGCTAGTTCCTCCGCGGCGTTATATTCAATTTGCTTTAATTTAGCTATCGCACTAGCCGTCGACCGGGCTGAACGAACGGAGCGAACCGACGGGGCGCGGGGCGCGGGCCTATGTACGTCTGTTACAGGCGCGACGGTACGTACTATCGAACTAATCTCTGTAGACGGAAGATCTTCTATAATCGCGGCGAGTGTCTCTGTACGCGGCGCGGAAATGCTAACCTCTCCCAAACGATCGGTCGTGGACACGGACATAGCGGGGCGCGGCGGCGGGGGCGCGGGCGCGGGCGTAGATGCGGGCGCGGGCGGGGCCTGGAGCGCGGGCGCGGCGGAGGGCGCTTGTGCCATCGCGAGATAATCGGACGGGGACGCGGGTGCTTCTTCGAATATGCGCATTCCTACCGGCGTGTCATCATCGTTCCGTGTCTTCTGGCTTCGTGTCTTCCTCATGGTCCCACGTTGCGACCTCCGGTCGTCTTCAAAAAGACGTACGTACAGTCTTTAAAAAGACACACGTATGGATGTCGTTCCCGCCACAAGGGCGTTACCAGATGGTCACAGTTTGGCACCGTTAGGGAGTGACCACTGGCCGCGTAAACGCGGTTAAGAAACAAGAAATTGTCTGGAAACAGACAATAGACGTGTATGACGTAGGCGTAACAAGAAACAGGGAAGAAATTAGTACCGACGATCTTCTCTCTTCGTCGACGAACTTCTTTCTTCCTTGAAGATCTTCTATAATGATCTTCTCTCTTCTGTAATTATGTTCTTTCTTCTATAATTACGTTCTTTCTTCTATAACTGCCTTCTTTCTTGTTTCTTCTTACTTCTTTCTTCTTTCTTCCTTCTTCTGGCTGCTATCCGGCTCGAAGGACCAAGATAAAGTGGTTGGAGAGTAGTGGACTGTATTTATACTTTAACTGGCGGTGTGAGGTTAGCTATACTAGGGGACTGCTCGAAGAAAAGATGGTACTTTTAACTATACTATATTCACTATTTACAAAGGGTTCGGCACTATTAACTAAATCACTATTCAAAGAGGGAGGTCTTCAGTGTGGAGTCTTTTTCCAGGTTTTCTGTCTTGATTCTTCCTTGTTGTCTTCTCGAGTGCCGCTTCCGAATGAACGCCCACGGCCTAAATCGCCCTTCTTATATTCCCGAGGAGAGCGCTTCATTCCGTGGGGTTATCCGCCCGATGGCAATTTTCGCCGCACGCGCGCTGATTGGTTGCCCGATATCGCGTGATCAGCGCCGGCGTGCGGGGTGCGCGGGACGTAACGGGGAACGAAGGGGCGACGGGGCGGCGGGTCTCTCGCTGTCCGTAACAAATGTTTCATGGTGAACACAATCGAAGGCCTTGGATAGGTCACAAAATATACCCAAAGCATCCTGTGAATTCTCCCATGCATTAAAGATATATTTAATCAGCTCAACACCGGCATCAGTTGTCTAGCGACCCCTTGTGAAACGAAATTGATTTTTATGAAGTAAATTATTTATATTAAAAAAAAAATTAACATTTGATCAAGAACAATTTTTTAAAAAATCTTACTAAGTGTTGGTAGGACAGAAATAGGTCTAAAATTGGAGGGGTCTAATGTACTACCAGATTTAAATAAAGGTATTACTTTAAACTAACTACTAAGGTAAGGTACTACTTAAAACTAAGTAAATATCATTAATAGAATCAGGCGTTACTTTGCAGAAGTCCATTATATTAAAGTTGACAAAAAATTAGCGGATGTATGCGAAGTAATTTTTAAAAATCAAAACTCAGTGGAAAGCACAAAATGTTCACATCGTCCAGATAGTTCTCTCATTCACCGGTATTATACCAAAATCACTTACACAAAGCCACTATATATATTAACACACTACACATGCCTACTCATACACTTCACATGCTCCAAAAAGCCACCATCCTCAACACCTCCTCATCACCCTAAAGTTTCTGATTTCTTCTACCTTATCATCCACTTTTACAATTTAAATTTCCGCTCAGACACTTGTTTCTGACCCGTGTTTGCGGTGTTTTAAACTCTCAATGAAGATAATAAATATAAAGAATTAATATAATAATAATAAAAATAATAATATAATAATATATAGCATATAATAAAGTCCCTACCTGTGTCTGTGTGTGCATCATATGTGTGTGTCTCACAGAATACCAGCGTGAAGTAGAGGTTTATCTCTGCGTTTCGCTTGGTGAGTGCAGGTGGCCGGAGGCCCTTTTTACTGGAAATGAGGCATTCCATCTTAGTCCTCACGGGTGACAACTCATTTGCATTTCGATTCGCAAACGATGATAGATGTAGATGTCTATGGGCCGCAGCAACCACTTACCATCAAGTGGACTGTGTGCTCGTTTGTCACCCTTATCCCATAAAAAAAAAATCTGTGTACTTGGAATTTAATACTGTTTAAAATATCATTTATGATAAGACTGCTCCGTGGCGCAGTAGCTTAGGATGATGATTACGATGCGGCTTCGCTATGAGTTGTGCGGTCTATCGGTATGTCGGAACAAGTGCTTTTATCGCCTACAAATAATTGTTCAAAGTCTGGATGTTTGTCCCTGTGAAATTTATGTACCTAAATTAGCTGCCTGAAAACTAAAAAAAAAAAATGAGACTTGCAAGAAATATTCGTCTATTGTTCGGTGGTCGGCCTATTCGGCTACTTTTATCCTATTCGGTCGAATACTCAATATGTAAGTATTATTATTCGTCCGAATACCGAATACTTAAGTAAGATGTTTTATTGTAAGCAGATAATTGGTGAAATAAAATATTGATTAATTTTATAATATTGTATTTTTCTTGTAATCGTTAAAGTAGGTACATAATCAACTTCCGTATCATAAAAATTAACAAAAAACTATCACAAATATCGTAATTAAAAAGAAGTGGAAGATAATGGTGGAGAAAGACTAATTCTTCTGCATCTTAACGCAGTAGTTTCCTTTTTTTCTTCTCGTAAAAAATCACAACTTCAGAGAATAGACTCTCTGAAGAATAAACGCTACTTCCTTCCCGGCCAAATACTTTGCCTAATATTTGGTTATTCGGCCAGAAAGCCCGCAGAATATACGGTGTTCGGCGTGTGGCGTTATTATTTTATTTCTTCTAAATGAAAAAAAAAATGAAACAAAATTTGACAAAAGTTTTGTTGTTCCAGGTTACTGCTGTTGAAGAACGGGTCGCTGTTGATCCGCGAGGTTGAGGAACGCGACTCGGACCGCTACGGCTGCACGGCCGGCAGCGCCGCCGGGCTGGACCGCAGCGAGCTGCTGCTCGTCGTGCATCCAGGTCTCGCCAACACTTTACTCCCTGCATCTAGCTTAGTTTAGTTTACAACGGGCTAAGTTTTCGCAACTCTACGTCTAATACAATAAAATACTTAATTATAACGTCACGAACTTCGGTCACGGCGGCCATCCTCAACGGAGACTAACTCTCTCTCTTTCTCTCTTTCTCCCTTTCTCTCTGTCTCTCTCTCTCTCTCTCTCTCTCTCTCTCTCTCTCACACACACACACACACACAGTCCAATGGGAGATTCCTACACGACGGAGAGACATCAGACACAGATTTAACGGCTTAACATGCTTTCCGAGGCACGGGGTTGAAACATCCGATTACTGATTGTGACCCGACCCGGAATTCAAACCCGGGACCTCATTATCAGCAATTGCGCTAAGAACTATTAGAAATTAGGAACATTGGCCCATAGCAATAATATATATACCTTAACATAAAATATAAACTTAGACTATCTAGAGAATTTTCTTCTTTAACGCGTCCCTGTATTGTTAATACACTACCCGAGAGGGCTGGAAATCGGGAGCGAGGAATTTCGAATACGTAGGATTTAAAGTTGGAAGTCTAAGCGAGTAAATTGAGTGTGGGCGGGTATGTTATGGTTATTCGAAGCATGAAATCTCCTCGAAGAACTTCAGCAGCCCCTGTTAATGTTAGATGACATTGGGACTTGGGAGCCACCTCGGCGTGCCGAGTTGGTTGCACCTGTATATGGCGACCTCCGCACATACTAGTATAGTACGTAGGCCTCCGTTTCTTCCTCTATACGTGCTTTGCTTCTAGATTTTTCGAAAGCTGAGCGTGAGTCTCCAGACCAAAAAATTTCTGTTTGGATAAAAAAGATGCAGATTTCGTTTTATTTCTTAAGGTATATTTACTTACTTACTTATCTTCACGCACAATCCCTGACGGGGTAGCCAGAGAGAACAGATCGCCAAGTGTCACGATCCTTACATATCTCTTTCGCTTCTTTCAGATTCATTACCTTCTTCATACATGCACGTCTAGGTATCCGAGTACTCTTGACCCTACCCTCTTCGAGCAATTTGCTCACATGGTCTTCGAAAGTTAGTCTCGGTCTACCTCGACACCTTTTAATATTAACTTTCGCGCTATATATTTTCTTCACCATTCGGTCTTCACTCATTCGCTCAACGTGCCCAAACCACCGAAGCACGCCCTTATCAATTTTTGTGATAAGGTCATCTTTCAAACCTGCCATATTGCGAATCTCTTCGTTTCGCTTTCGGTCGGCCATAGTAACGCCGCACATTTTACGAAGAGATCGCATCTCCACTGCATTCAACTTACTTTTATGCTTCTTCTGGTATACCCAGGGGGTCATTGTAGAAGCGTGCTCGTCGCGACCCCTGCCAGCCCTTTTCAGGGCTGCAATTCTACTCAGCTGCGCACCCATGTCAACGAGGGTTAGGGCGTCCCCCCAAGGCGACGCACACCAGCTCGTCCCCGTTGGTGTGGAATGCAGCGCGCAAAGCGGCGATGGGGACCGCCACCCGTCACGCACAGCCCGACACGGCGGAAGGTGGAGGACGGAGTGCAGAGTTGGCACGTGGAATGTTAGAGGAGGCATGAGAGATAAGACGAATGAGTTGATCGAAATAATGAAAGAAAGAGAATTAGATGTCGTGTGTATGTCGGAGACCAAACGGAAGGGCAGTGGTACTGACGAGCTCCCTGGCGGGGCGTTTGCTCTATGGTCCGGAGTCCCGGAGAGCGAGAACGCCTGCCAGGGAGTAGGGGTGCTGCTGTCTTCTCGTTTGGTCGATGTTATGACTGAATATAAGTTTGTGAACTCAAGACTTCTCTGGGTTCGCTTTAAATTGGGACTGACGAAGTTATTCCTTATGGCTGTTTATGCGCCGGTGGCTTCGTCGTCCAGGGCTGAGCTGGAGGAGTTTTGGGAGAATGTAAGAGAAGTTCTAGATTTGGCTAGGGGAAACGAAAGGATTGTTGTATGTGGTGATTTGAATGGATGGGTTGGTACCGCTCGACCAGGGTACGAGTCGGTACTTGGAAAGTTTGGCGATAAAAGGGTTAATGATGCTGGCAAGCTTATACTGGCGGTATGCAAGGAAAAGGGTCTTCTTGTGACAAACACTATGTTTAATCACAAGAAAATCCATATGTATACTAGAGAAAGAAAGAATGAGAGAAGTATGATCGATTTGTTCCTGGTGGATGACCGACTGCGAAAACAGGTTATGGATACGCGAGTGTTTAGGGGTGCTGACCTGGGAACGGATCACTATCTAGTGATTACTAGATTTAGGGGTCTGTTCGCGGGTTGGCGCTACCGGACGACAGTGACGGAACCACAGTCGGTCTGTCGCATCCGAAGCTGGAAGCTTCAGGAAGCGGATACTAGGGACAAATATCATGCGAGGGTAGCCGAAAAGCTTGACACCATCGATGGCAGAAACGAATGTGTAGAAAGAACATGGCAGAACCTTAGGGATGGAATGGTAAGTGCAGCGGAAGAAGTGTGTGGAACAATAAAAAGAGGCAGTAGTAAAAGAAGAGATGCATGGTGGAATGATGAAGTGAAAGAAGCTGTAAAGAAGAAGAAGAAAGCATGGTTAGACTACTTGGCCTCTAGTAATGATAAGGATATGAGAGAGAAGATGAAAGAAAGATATATGCTGCAGAAAGTTCACACGAAAGCATTGATTGAGGAAGTGCGTGAAAGGTGTAGAATGGAAGCAGATGAAAGGTTGTCGCACAACTTTAAGGAGAACTCCAAACTCTTCTGGAAAGAGGTTGGAAGGACCCGAAGTGGTGCGACGGCCTTAAGAATGAACAAAGTGCTTTCGAGAACTAATGACGTCCTCTCAGAAAAATCGGACGTCATGCAGCGATGGAGCGAATTTTATAGAGAAATGTATGCGTGTGATGATCTTAGTGAGGGATCCGGGGATAAGGTATATTTCATTTCATTTTTCATTCATCATTTCATCATTTATTATAGTACAAGTGTGTATCATGTATTATACACAATTAATTTTATTTATTTAATCTTTTATACACAAAGTTGTACATATGGCGGACTTAATGCTATAGGGCATTCTCTCCCAGTCAACCATTTATTTTAGTATACAAAAATTTCTTAAACCGTAATTCCTATTTTTAAAACCAACATCTATTGTCCTACAACTTTTTTGTAACTTAATACGAAATAATAAATGTAAATTTTTTTTTATATGCCTTATTGCAAAGTTTTACAGAGTAATATTGAACATAGAGAAATGACAATATTTTTATTTCTATGGAAAATTTCATGTATAATTTTACAATTAACCCTTATACTTACTGTTCATCTTTTAAATGGTATTAATGTGTCTTAAAATGTTAAAACTTTAATTTGTATATTTAATATAATCTTTACCTATTTAATAGGAAATAGGATTCAGTGTTTGTTAACATTTCATGTTTTGTCTTAAAAGTTGCAAAGGAGACAATTTCTTTTTGTATTGAGAATGGGCCCACCACTGTAACCAGGCGTAACTTAATGAAACATATGTCGATTTATTCCTTATAACCAATAGATTACAATAGTAATATTAGTTTTACCGTATCTAACGGGAATACTGAGAAATTAACAATTAAAATATGAATATCACAATAACATAAAAACAAACTAAAAGCGATTGTCTAGTAGTTTTCACCGGTATTATAAGTTAAAATAGTGCACTGGTCAATAATTAATAATATAAAAGAAAGTTGTAGGTACATTCAGCATTTATAGGTACTTTAAGGTTGATGGAATTTTTTAGGTAGTTTAGTAGTTCCTTCTTTATACGCATTTTTTTTTCATATTACATTAGCCAATTCACGAATATCTAAAGATCTTTTTTTTTCTAATTTTATGATTCCGGTTACATTTTCATAAAATATTTAGGCCGTTTACTATAATAATTTTTTATTTTTTTGATGTGTAATAAAATTAAGCCCAAAAACGATTGTCTGCTTTTCTCTTGTAAATGATATTAACGTGTCAAAATTATTAACGATAAATATTAGCTGCTGTATATCAGTGAAACCTGTTTGTAATGGTTCTTTTATTTCATTAGCTTGCTAAAGTCCACTGCTGAACATGGGCCCCCTCCGTGAGGAGGATTTGAGAGTAATTTTATACACACATAAAAAAGAGGTGTAGGCATAAATGTGAATGTACCCGCAATTTGTTTATAATATCAGTGAAAGCATAACATATGTTTTCGCTTTACAGAAGGTGAACTGCCACCATCAGAGTCCACCGGTGTAGCTGGCAAAGCAGTGCTAGTTTCCATATCGGTGGCCGGTGCCTACATGTTGCTCGTCCTCGCTCTCATGGTCTACTGCAGACGTAGGAGGCTGAAGAGGAGGCAACGCGGTAAATATGCTACATAATAATTATAATAATGTTCTCTAGATCAAATTTCTGTCACGATGGTCAGTATCAATGGAGACTAAACTTCTGGGCGGGACAGGATTATAGTGCATGAGTGTCTGTGTAAGTACGTGTGCACCCTATTCTCTTACACTCATAGTCTAGAAAAGGCTATCCGACACGACCGAAAAGAGATACATGCTTTCGCACGGGGGACAAATACCACCAACTTCCTGACTACATGATGTTACTGAGAATTTGTGGACAGATGAGAGGAAGACTAAAGGTCATGGGCATCTAATTACTATCAGATGGACTGTGTGCTCGTTTGTAACCCATATTCTATAAAAAAATATTTTTGCCCGACCCTGTGCTGTGCGCTATACCGACAGTGCCGTAGCATCAAGCGGAGTCGCCAGTACACTACAGCCCATCACAAGGGCACTGCTGAACATAGGCCTCCCTTAAAGAATATCACAAAACACGACCTTTCGCAATCTGCATCCGTAGACTTCCCTTATGTCTTTCCAAATTGTCTCTGTATGTAGATGAGATTCTTAACTTGCTTCTCATATTCCTTTTTCATATAGAATAGAATAGAATAGAATAGAATGATTTTTATTCAATATGGATTATTACATAATACTTATTGAAAGTCATTATTTTATTTACCATTTGATTCATGATTCATTTATTTACCATCATTTTTCTCGATATTAATCAGGCGACTCAGCCTGCGCTCTATTCGGTGGCATGTTTTCATTACCAGACCGCCACAACAAACCAGATTCGTATCTGTTGTCTGATAAACGACGTACCGTTTTACTTAATCTGTCAAGTCCTGCCGATACACATGTCTGCCCCGTGACAAATTAAAAAAATAGTAGCTTAGGTAAGGAATGTAAATAAAAATCGACTACTGAAATAAAACCTAATACTAAATCTAAAATGCATATTTAAAGTCACGTTATAAGTCGTTCTAATGTTTCAAGTAGTTATACAACGTTATCAACGTGACAAAGTCACAATGATTTATAATTGTGACTTTTTTGTAACTGGAACGACCATGAAGCAAATACAAAGAGGAGTCGGCATAAGCAACTGTGCACTGTGATTCTAAGTAGGTCCTGACGTCATCATAGTGGGCGTGGCTTTAGTTAGTATACTGTCAGCATTCGTCCTGTGCGCTTATGTGATGAGAATCGCAAATCGGTGTATTTTCGTAGTATTAAGAAGAAAAGGATGAAGTGTTGTGTTTAATCGTGTAAAAACTACTCAGATAGACTCTTTGATGCTATGGATGACATCACATTTCATTTGTAAGTAATTTTACACCTAATTTATTAAAATAGTTCTAGAAAATATCTTTGCGTCGACTTTCAAATATAATTAAATATATTCGACACTAGATGCCGACACTTTGTGTCATTCATTCATTCATCATTCATTACAGTCCTTCACAAGTCCACTGCTGAACATAGGCCTCCCCCAAGGAATGCCACAAAACACGGTCCTGAGCCACTTGCATCCATCAACTTCCTGCATGTCTTACCAGGTCGTCACTCCATCTAGTGTGGGGACGCCCTACACTTCGTCCGTCGATACGAGGCCGCCACTCGAGAACCTTTTTTTCCCCATCGGTTGTCGCTTCTTCGAGCTATATGGTGGTCCATTGCCACTTCAGCTTACTAATCCGTAGGGCTATGTCGGTCACTCTGGTTCTACTGCGGATATCCTCATTTCTAAGTTTATCACGCAGAGAAACTCCATAGCCCTATCCATAGCTCGCTGAGCAACCTTGAGCTTCCTCATTCGGCCAGTAGTGAAGGACCACGTCTCAGTTCCATAGGTCATCACTGGCAACACGCGCTGGTTGTACAGTCTCGTTTTCAAGTTTTGAGGTATACCTGACGAGAAGATGTGCCGTAATTTCCCGAACGCTGCCCAACCGAGTTGAATCCGTCGATTTACCTCTCAGTCGAAGTTGGACTTACCTAGTCGGACTAGGTAAACATAGTCGTCAACAACTTCGAGCTTAGTGCTCCCAACAACTACCGGCATAGGTGTGACATGAACATTAAACATAATCTTTGTTTTGACCATGTTCATCTTAAGACCTATCCGTTGGGAGACCATGTGTGTCATGTAAACTAAAAATATAAAGGTACGTAGATGTCATTATTGGTAAAACAATCATACGAAGGTGCTGAAATTTGTTTTGCATTCAGACATAAAGAAATTTTAATCGCCAAAATATTATTTTTGTAGTTCATAATCATTTTGTGAACAGGCCGCCACCTATCGTCAAGGTAGCTAAACTACATTGCAACATCGATATGGAACGATTCGAGTAGTTTTACTATTTATCGGTAAATGTAGATAGTGTTAAGTGAGTGGGGCTTAACATCCCCTCACCCCGCACACACACACACACAACAACTCCTCTTTGTATTTGCTTCATGGGAACGACGGTCACGGTTATTTAAAAATAAAACTTTTTCCTAAGTCTAGTCGCCTCTTACAACATTGACGGAATGATATGAATATTCCTACACCCCACTACATGGTAATTGATAATTTCTCAAAACATTTTATTTATCGACAACATCTTGCAATCGTCGTTTCTCTAGCGCTTACTTGACCTTTATACAAATATTCGATATTTTAATTGTTTTTTTTATTGTTTATTTTTAGTAATGACTCTTAAGTTATATTTACCTTAATTTAAAAAAAATTGTCCTGACCTACTACACTTTGGCTTGACCATAGGTCTGACTAAGTTGGTCCAATAAATGTCGGGGCCTGAGAGGTTAACATATATACAGTAGTGTGGGGCCGCTCGGCACATTGCTTATTGGCACAAGACTGCCACTCAAGAGTATTTCTTTCCCATCGCTTATCGGTTCTTCAAAAGAAAATGCTAAAAATAAAACTAAATACGTAACAAAATCATCAATGATAATTAATAATGACAAGATAAGCTATCAATTAAGGAACGTTGGAGTGTGTGACTAAAAAGGCGTGAGTTTGAATCCGCCATGCAACTTGAATCACTCAAAGAAGCAAGCATTTAAGGTTGTCAGATTGGCAGGAATACGAGGGTGGGTCAATAAGTCCGTGACTTTTGGAATAAAACACAGATTTTTTGATAAATAAATCATTTTATTTTTCACCGTAGTCCCCCTTGAGCTCTATACACTTTGTCCAACGCTTCTCCAATTTTTTCATCCCTTCCAAAAAATATGATTTGTCGAGGTCCTCAAAATAGGCCTTTGTTTGCGAGATTACTTCATCATTGGAGTCAAATCTTTTTCCACCAAGCCATTTCTTCAGGTTTGGGAACAAGAAGTAGTCACTCGGAGCCAAATCTGGAGAATAGGGCGGATGAGAGAGCAATTTGTCGTGAAGCGACAATTAAATACAAAAGAATCTAACCTAAGAGCAACAAAACAACAAAAATAGAACAAAAACAAATAATATATTTAAGATTAAAAAGATATTTACAATTTTATATAACAAAATGGAGTATGAAGATGAGGATGGATGTCGTGATTTACAATTATTATAAAAAAAAAGATAATAAAAAAAAGATTAGTGTTGAAGTTGAGCCCGAAGATCCAAGGTGTACAGTAAGTACTCTCAGTGCGCACAGTGTGGGCGTCTCTAAGCGACGACCTAAGGTGAATGCGGAGATTTGCAAGATCCGGCGACTTCAGGCAAGACAGGGGCTTGCAGGATCCTCAGCGACTTCAGGCAGGACAGAGGCCTGCAGGATCCGGCGACTTCAGGCGGGACAGAGTGTTGCAGGGTCCGGCGACTTCAGGCAGGACAGAGGCTTGCAGGGTCCGGCGACTTCAGGCAGGACAGAGGCTTGCAGTATCCGGCGACTTCAGGCAGGACAGAGGCTTGCAGGATACGGCGACTTCAGGCAGAGCCGAGACTTGTAGGATCCAGCGGCTTCAGGCAGGACAGAGGCTTGCAGGATCCCGGGGCAGTGCGGCCCCGGGATAAGGCCTTTAAGAGATGCTTCGAATTTGAGAACTGAAGCGAGACTGACTTTCTTGACCGATTGTTCGGCCTTTATACCTTTTTAGAGAGAACGGAAAAATTATTTAAATTAAACGCAATTTTATTGTAAATGGCCAAGAGGAAAGAATATTTATGTGGAATTATCGAAGTAGAAGCAACAGACTGGTAGCGAATTTGAATAAAATTGTCATGACAACCAGATAAACAACGATGTCAAAACATGTCAAATTTTGGTTTTAGGCTCGTAATAGAAAAACGGCAAGATTTAAGTGAAAAATTAGATATTATTGATATAGGAAAAAAGGTAGCGCACCTGCGCGCACAAAGCCCGAAATTGCAGAGTTACGGAAAACTAAATAAAAGATCGAAAAAGGTAGACTCCATTGACACCAATTTAAAAGTGCTGATAGTGTGAAAATACGAAGTAAAAATGATTTGTTATTGTGTTCTTATGGTTTAAAATCGTTACAGGATCCTATGGAAATAAAGGTGATGTAAAATATCCAGTTTTGAGGTGAATGCAGAAAATCGAAACAGAATGGAAAAATGAATTTAAAATAATGTAAAATGATATGTAAGTAGCATAACACTACAAATTCATAGCCCAATTCATGGATTTTTGCCATGGCAACTGCACATGTGTGCACCCTTGCATTGTCTTGGTGGAAAAGAACTTTTTTCTTGGCCAAATGAGGTAGGTTTTTTTTTCAAATTGTCATTGAATCGGTCCTATAAGTTGGCATAATATTCCCCATTGATTGTTCTTCTCTTTTGAAGGTAGTCAATGTGGATTATCCAGCGTGCATCCCAAAAAACAGTCGCCATAACTTTATTGGCTGACAGACCCACCTTGGCCTTCTTTGGCGTCGATTCACCCTTAGAAACCCACTGTTTTGACTGTTGTTTGGTCTCTGGTGTGTTGTGATGGATCCATGTTTCGTCCACGGTTACAAAACGGCGCAAAAACTCCTCCATATTGCGATTAAAAAACGCCAAACCTTCCTGTGAAGTTGTTACACGATTGCGTTTGTGGTCGACTGTGAGCAAACGCGGCACCCATCTTGCGGAAAGCTTTCTCATGCCCAAGTGATCATTCAAAATTGAAACCACTGAGCCATGCGAGTTCCCTACGGCTTCCACAATCTCTTGCACTTTCAATCTTCGGTCGGCCAACACCATATCGTGAATTTTTTTGATTGTTTTGGGTGAAAAGACCTCAACTGGGCGTCCAGGACGTTCGGCATCTTCAGTGCTTGTACGGCCACAACGAAATTCAGTAAACCACTTTTTACCATTGAAATCGATGGTGCAGAGTCCCCATAGTATTTATCAAGCTTAGCCTTGGTCTCAGTAATGGTTTTTTTTTCGCAAAAAATAATGCTTAATAAGCACACGAAATTCACTTTTTTCCATTTTTTCCTCAAATTACTGGGTAGTCTGATAAAGATAGCTGTCAAACACAAACTAACTGACGCAGCAAGTTCAAATTTTGACAGGAGTCAACTGACAGATGCCTGTTGACAGGAGTAGTGTTGCTTTTTCAGTAAAGAGGTCAGAAATTCAAAAAGTCACGGACTTATTGACCCGCCCTCGTATTAGTAGTTTTAATAATAGATTTTAAAGTTTTCTTACTAAAAAAATGTTTTTATGTAAGCAATAAGACCTACATTTATTTTTTCCTCAATATATGTTTATTTTCGTTATTTTTACCTTTCATTAGTATACAATAAAGAGTATTGTATTGTATTGTTACAGGAGAGAAAATGGAGTTAGAGATGCAAGAGGGGAGGGAGAAACTTGTAGAAGAAGGCGAGGAAGATAAAAAGACTCAAAATGGCGGCGCTGTGCAAAATGGCAGGCTTCTACCTTTAGACAAAGACAGCGGTAAGTCATTTTTAACATACTTTTCACCAGCTTGACCTGTACCTATACGTATATATGTATGTAATGAATGTTTTTAATTCAGGTTAAATCCATTTCAGAACGTCTGAATAGTCCTAGATTTTGCAGAAGTATTAAAAACCGATGATAATACAATAATTTCATCACTATGACCTAGTATTCTCACTAGCATCATTACCAGTGCGTGTTTTAACTCCTCACGCCTTATGATACCCTGGTACTAGTCTAATGCTTTTGCTAAAGATGATAATTATATATTGTTATAAAAAATAAGCTAGCTATATCTTTATATATAAAAATTACATGTCACGTTGTTTGTCCGCGATGAACTCCTAAACTATTGAACTGATTTCAATGAAATTTTGCACACTGTGTGCAGCTTGGTCCAACTTGAAAGATAGGATAGTTTTTATCCCGATAAGTGACCTATATTTTTTTATTGCGAATTTAAGGATTTTTGCATAGGAAGGGTCATCGGAAAGGGCAGGACAACGTCTGCCTGGCCAGCTAGTTATGCTATATAAATAAGTTATAGGGTAAGATAATATGTAACGTTATGTTTCTTAAATGTTTTGTATGGCTATGGAAGAGCTTTGCCATTTTTGGAAGAATTTAAAAGTTTAGGAAAAATTTTCCAACATAAAAGGTACTCTCGTACTAGGCGTTACTGTTAAAATTGACACTATATTAAAGTATGACCACGTCTCTTTCTATCGCTCTCAACTTAAATGGTTAAATATTCCACAACGCACAAATACGTAACAAAATTATCTTACGTATCTCTCTATACTCTCAGGAACATTAGAATTCTTAGCACTTTTTTCGCTATCCTTAACGATCCATTAGCCCAACATATAATATTCTATTATATCCTTATATATATATATATATATATATATATATATATATATATATATATATATGTATATATGTGTGTGTGTGTGTGTGTGTGTGTGTGTGTGTGTGTGTGTGCGCGCGTGTGTGTGTGTGTGTGTGTGTGCGTGTGTGTGTAGCGCGCGCGCGTGCGCGTGTGCCTATGTACGCGCGCGCGCGCGTGTGTGTGTGTGTGTGAGCGTGTGCGTGTGCTTGTGCGTGTGCGAGTGAGCGCGCGGGTGCATGCGCGTGTGCGTGTGCTAGTGTTCGTGCGTGCGTTCGTGTGTGCGTGCATGTGTGTGTATGTATGTGTGCGTGCGCGCGTGTGCGTGTGTGCGCGTGTGTGCGTATGTGCGTGTGTGCATGTGTGCGTGTGTGCGTGTGCTTGTGTGCGTGTGCATGTGCGTGCGCGTATGCGTGTGCGAGCGCGAGCGCGAGCGCGCGTGTGTGTGTGCGTGTGAAATTTATCAATTTTAAGTTTTAATCCTTGCCCACTGCAGTACACACATCTCCCACTAACTTTCCGGTTGGCTGGTAGAAAATGCCATATGATATTAAGTCCGCCGTTTGCACCTTTAGTACAATAAAATGTATAAATAAATAAATAAAATTGGTCTAATGGGCTGCTACGGAGAAACGTCGATACAAACATACATACATAGAAAGTTAAGTACAGAACCATTTCTTTAAATCGTCGTAATCGGTTAAAAATATAGGTTGCAAGTGACAACCCTTGGTTGTAGCAAAACATGGCAAAGTAACCGGCACATCGTGGCATCACTATTATGGTAACTTCGCCAAGTTTAGTTTTATAGATAAATGTTAAGACCAACATGTTAAAAATGATATATTACATTTCCTAACATTAATACTACGTTAGTACAAAGGTAACCTACATTCAGTATTTCAAACAAATTCAACAAAAGTTATGGAGCAGTGAACAAAGAGGTAATTTCGCCGGCACAATTCCGCGTTAAAATAAAATGCCAAAATGAACTCTCATGTTGCCATATCGAAAACAATGTTGTCATATCGAAAACAATGTTGTCAATTACTTATTGTATTTTCATCCAAAAATGGCATATCTCGAAAAACGTTACGTTTTCCGTGTAAATCGTAATTTTGCACCAGTATACCCCTGATGGCAAAGCTACCTTTCATTGGTAAAGTTGCTAGATTTGACTGTACGAAAAAGACGCTCCCAACTTTATGCAAATTGTTAAATGCTTAATGAAATAAAAATATTATTATTAACAAATCGAGGTGTTCACATTTCCTCTACTTATTTTTTTCTTTATTGATTTCCCTGTTACAAAATAATACAAAGGCGGAAAGCATTCTCTACCAGTCAACCTATGGATTAATTACTGGTCCGGCTGCCGAAACTAGATACGGCTAGAATTAATTACAGTACTATTATTTTTTCTGTCTTTCAGCTTAACAAAAGTCCACTGTTCAGCATTGTCATGAAGAAGATATTTGCCTTAGTTACCACGCCAAGCAGGCGGAATTGCAGCCACAGTTTTTTTTTTTAATTAGAAAACCGCTGCTGCGGGTTATATATACCTGGTTTGTTTGTCGTCAGACGATTTTGGTTAATTTTTTATAAACTCTGTGGGTTACCTCTGAGTAACAAGTAATAACGTATTCAGAGTTAATTCGTAATAACAATCGAAATGTTCACATATGATTTACGGGACAGCGAATGGTTAATTTTAAAAACAGTTTCTTGTTTTCTTGTAGTCATTTCTTATATTTAGGGCTGATTTTAAAATTGACAGTTAAAAGTTACGTAAAAACTAACAATTGAACTATTTTATTCATACAACAGTCATTATTCATTTGTTTGTGTTGTATTTTATACTATGAATAACTGTTATTTGATGTTTGAAAAATCGACCCTTAGAATATCTTCATCATAAATAATGATGATGAAGACGCTGTAATGACAGCCTTACACAAGTCTATTGCTGAACATAGGTACATATATTTTTAGAATATCTACTAAACATTAAATAAAACAAATGTTACGGATTTTATTGCGTTTAATTTTAACTTATTACTCGACTACTGAGGGTGATGTTTTCGAGTATATATATAAAACGAGAGTATATAATAATGTCTGTCTGTATGTGCTATTTGGCATGCTTTGTAGGCTTGATGAATTTTAACATAAGGGAAGTCGTTAGATTCGTCTTATTTGTGAAAGTGACATAGAGTACAATATTTGATTTCTTTTTCTTTTCTTTCAGTAGACTGATACACAGTTGGGTTTTCTTAAATTACTCTTTTATAATAATAATAATAATAACAATATTTTTTATTTCGGATAGCAAAAGCCCATTGTGTTGGAAACATGGAAAAACTTAGATCTATTTTTAGTAATATACCTATGAATATCTATTCTATTTACTTAGTTATTTATGCTGAGACTAATCAAATAATTTAGTAGGTCATTTTCCACACAAAATGCCTTTTAATAGGGGTAGAACTCTCTGCCACCGTTTTCAGGACTCTGTTGTGACTCGTCCGTATTCTTCTTACTAAATATAAGGTTCTTTTATGTATTCATGCGGTGAGCGGTTTTAACTATTGGGTTTGTTTTTAATTCTTTTTTTTTTTAAATACTAGTATTGTTATTAAACATTACTAATATTCCCTTTAACCACTTCTGGTAAGCTTAAAATGCTTGTGTTAGAATTGGTTCACGACAGTAGTCGAATGGAGGATTCGAACCCACGACCTTTGGAGTTCACGGTCCGCACCCTGCCATTAGGCTACTGACGCTTCTTTTTTTTATTTAAAAAAAGTACTAGTAATGTTAAACATTACTAATATTATTCTTTTATACTATTATTATTCTTTGATAGGAAAAGTTGTCTTTTTCGGTGAGGGTTTGTGTCAATCAAATTTGATATAATTGTGGGATCGCTACTGAACATGGTCTTGTCATATAAATTATATAAAATTTCTCAATATAACGTACGTATGTATCAGGTGCGGACAACTCCGAGGTTTCCGGTATATCTAAGGCGTCCAAGAAGTCGGGGCATTACGAGCAACTGTCTGTGCCGCGTACCCTACTTAATGACCAGATTACCTTAGGTAAGTTTTTAATTTATTAATCAATTAATTTTTTTTACTTTAATTAAAACGTTTTTTTTGTTTTTTTTTTAAAAAAAAAACGTTACCCCCACACTAGGATTTTCTCCTGTATCGTGGAGGCAGTTTACAAACACATATTGCACAAGGACAAACATCCAGACCCGGAACAATTATTTGTAGGCCATACAAATACTTGTTCCGTGCGGGATTCGAACCCGCGCCCCCCAGCGCATCAACTCATTGCTAAGCCACTGCGTCAAGGAGCGGTTTAATTAAAATGGTTAAACCAATTACATTAATTAAAGACTACATATAAACTCTTCTCGTTCACTAAACTTCAGGCATTCAGAGAATTTTACCGTCCACTCGAACGCAAACAGTTCGCACTCAGGATTTGTGCCTAGGAGAGCATCAAGTGCGGCGAGAACACGGAACAGGGCAACAATTGGCATGTGCAATATGCCTTTTATTTATAATATTATTGTCGATAATCTTCACGCACAGTTATGTGATGAATTTTGCAAGAGAGATGAGATGAGAGAGACTTCTAGTGATGAGAGGAGGTTTGTGTAATAAGTAAAGTTAAAAAAATCAATCCGTCAATTACAGCCTAAATACATCCCACTGCTGGGCAAGCGCCCTCTCATTTCTAAAAGGATTTAAGGGCAAGGAAAAGTTCATCACGCTGCCCCAATGCGTGTTGGCAGACTTCAAATGCCTTCAAAATATATTTTTTTTTATTTCTCCTCATACATGTTTCCTCACCGTCTCGTGCTCGTTTACTATGTAATTTACAGTGAGCGCCTCAGAACTACCATGGCACTTGTAGGTCATAAGGCTTACCATTAATTTTAAAATTTTTAGGTCGTGGTGAGTTCGGAGATGTTTTACTGGCGAAGATAGATATGACGCAAGTGAGAAGATTGCGTAACAAAGAGGAAGTAGATCCCGAACCCCAGATCAAGCCTGTACTAGTCAAAGTTCTGACGACGAAAGATGAAGTAAGTGTTCCTTCTATTCTCTTCTTAGAATTTCACTGTAACTATCCTTATGTTTTTCAAGTGATGTAAGAAAGTGAGGAAAAATAAATAACGTTGAAATGAAACTTACAATATATGGTATAAATTGTGATTACTCTCCGTTGAATAACATTGGGCACTCCATTGAACATGTATGGTGGTCCTTCGAGTCGGATACGAATGGGACAATAATGTACAGATCTATTATATTATAGAAAAGTAAATAAAGTGTCATAAAAATTGTTAAACCGTGTATTTCATCAATCAGTAAATACGATCCTACTCTTGTCTTTTTTTTTATAGAATAAGGGTGACAAACGAGCACACAGTCCACCTGATGGTAAGTGGTTGCTGTGGCCCATAGACATCTACATCTATCTTCGTTTGCGAATTAAAATGCAGATGTGTTGTCAGCCGTGAGGACTAAGATAGAATGCCTCTTTTTCCAGTGAAATGGGTCTCCGGTTCTCTACACTTACCATACGAAACACAGCAGCATTAAGCTGCTATTTTACGCTGGTATTCTGTGAGGGCGTGGTCCTTCCCCGAGCCGACCCATTCATGCTACAACTATACTATTAATATAGTTGCAGCATAGCTCTACTACGTAAAAATTCTATTGAATTCCCTTTCACCAAGAGCACGTGACAAATTCACTGCACACTTGTTTTACTGTATTTTAATCTGTTATTTGCTTAAAGCCTGAGGGTTAGGTAACCAATCCACATTATATAATACTTTATAAGTTTAAATTCAAAATTGTTTATTCTATAACTTAATCTAGCTTATAAGGTGTATTGTGGTTGAAGCTTCTTTTTATCAAACGTTTTGCTTATGATAGAAAGGCTCGTTTTTCCAAAACAATTTCATTATAGACTAATGATTAAGCACATACTCATTAAATTATAATATACAAAACAAATTATAAATTTTGGTGGTGTATGTGGCGTGTGTATATGTATGTTTGTGTGCGTGAAGGTGTGTGTGTGTACTTGTGCGTGTGTGTATGAGTTAGGTTAAAAATTTATAACTCATATTGATATCGCTTTTATATTCTCAGGTACAGTTAGCGGAATTCCGTCGTCAGTTAGATTTGTTCACTCGTGTTCGTCACGAGAACGTGGTCAGGCTTATAGGCCTGTGCAACGAGGCTGATCCGCATTACATGCTACTGGAACACACGGATTGGGTGAGTGTTTATTTTGTGTGGATTATAGAAAGAAAGAAACGGACATGGCATGTAGTGGTGACGTAAGAATCTGAAAATGTTACTTTTTTTATAGAATAAGGCTGACAAACGAGCACACAGTTCAACTGATGATAAGTAGATGCTGTGACTCATAAATATTTATATCCATCATCGATTAAGAATTAAAATGTGTATTTTTTAGTTGCTTTTGAGGATTAAGATGGACTGCCTCTTTTCTAGTAAAACGGGTCTCCGGTTTTCTCTACACTCGCCATATGAAACATAGCATTAAGATTAAGCTGCTTATTTACGCTGGTATTCTGTGTGAGTCTAGACCTAGACCTTCCTCGGTCGATCCGATCCATTCGGGCTACAACCATAATATAGCTGCAGCGTGGCTCTACCACGTGTCAAAATACAATATTTCTTTCAATAATAATTGGCAATTGTAAGCAGTAAACTTGGCTAATGATGATAATAGTACCTATCGTAGTTGTCACATATAATGCACCGTTCGTGTACGTTCAGGGTGACCTGAAGAGCTTCCTGATCGCGACGCGTTCGGAGGAGGAGGACGCGGAGTACTCGGCTCGCGTGGGTCCGGCGTACGTGGCGCGCAGTGAGCGGAGGGCCGCCGCGCTGCAGGCGCAGCACCGCGCGCTGCTGGCGGCGCACCTGGCGGCCGCAGCGTCGCGCCTCGCAGCTAAGCGCCTAACGCACAGGTTTTTTTGTAACTCGTACGGTTATCGCTTTTGCCAGTGTCAGTCAATTGGTAAATGTCGCTTATAATAATATTCGCAAGATCGAATTTCGGTCACGTTGGCCAGTTCTAATGAAGGCTAGCCGTTTGCTCAAGATAGTTGTTATGCACGAGTGTATGTACAAGCACAGATGCACTCTCTATTCTCTCACTAACATTCTAGATGTTTCTACAGTAGAAGGTTCTGAAAACTATATGAGGCTCTATATAAGGCCGGTATAGACCACGACCGGGTCAGTATTGAATTGGCAATATAAGCGAATACTTCGAAGCGATACAACTGCGAACTAAAGTGATCAGTAGTACAATTGTGTTTTATTTTTAGTGTGGTTTAAGTTGTAATTAGTCCTCTGTAATTAAAGTGTCGATTTTGGTTATTCACTCTGCAGTTTTTAATTGGCGCGAACCCCAAGCTCGTAACAGTATTAACACTTAATATGAATTATGTCCTTGTATTATTATTATGTGTGGTATCTATACAGTTTTCTCATCTGATTGAGCTGTGTAAATATATAAATGTAAATGAAATTGATAAACATACATAAATAAAATAAATGCATAAACATACATAAATAAATAAAAACCCTAAGGAAGCCCTCGGCACGGAAGACCAAACGGCCGAGGGTTAGGAAGAAAGGGAAGAAACCGACGGACGATGCCGGCGAATTCGAGAAGAACCGCCTTCTGCATTTGAGCCCTGAGCGGTCCGTCACGAACTCCAAGTCGCCTCAGATCACCCGAGAGGCTGACCAGGATTAGCCCGTTCGCAAAAACGACTACAGGTATAATTTCGGTCGGCAGGCCACCCCACATGTTGGTCACCTCGTGAGCCAGGTATAGATATTTTGTTCGCTTATCTGTTTCGGCGTTCTCGTCATACGGAATGGTAATGTCGACCAAAAATATCCTTGACTGTGCCCGGTCCATCAGCCCAATATCAGGCTTATTCGTAAGAATAGTCCTGTCTGTGATGATGGTCCGGTCCCAGTAGAGCCTGGCGCGGACATTTTCGAGCAAGGCTTCCGGCAAGTATGAGGCAATTTCCGGTCCACGGCAACGCAGTTTAGAGCTGATCTGGTGTAGAATTCTGGCTACTAGGTTGTGCAATTACTCAGAGTTAGAAAGCGCCGAACAACCGGAGATGACATGCTTAAGTGACTCACCAGGATGGCGACAAGCTCGATAGATAGTGACGGTGCCATCGTTTAGGTTGTATCTCCGATAGTTGTTGGTCTTAATACCCTAATCCTGTATCGCACAGACAAAACCCTCGGTTTCCCCAAAGAGGTCACCAAAACGTAGCCATTGGAGGAAGGCAACTATGTCTACGAAAGGCTCATCTAGAGCCTTGTAGAACCTCCCGTGGAGCTCCTTCTTCATCCATACGGTCTCCCGGTCGGAAATGCTCTGCACTGTCGGGTCTTGCCATTGCTAGTTGGCTAAGGATAGAGGGGTATCCCTTTATCACAAGAAATGACGTTCCTATAGAATGGATCATCCGATCTCGTCAAAAAGTAGCTACGGAGGTTGCACACTTCGCGATTATGCATGGTAAGCACGCTTAAAAAGCCACGCCCACCATGCTTTCGCGACAAGTACGGTCTAGTTACCAACGATCTCGGATGATGCGTTCAGTCTTGAGTTCACCTGAGTATGCCAAAGGTAACATGAGGACATAGGAGGTAGCCGTGTAGTGGCGGTCAAGAATATCCACTACCCCATATCCTCCCGTGGGTGTCGTAAAAGGCGACAAAGGGAAACAGGCAGGAGATGGGCAGCAGCATCTTCCTGATAATAGCAAAATTACAATAAAAAAACTGCTGTTGCCAACCCGCTCGCCAAGCGTGGCAACTATGGCAAATACCCCCCTATGAATGACAGTAACAAAGAAACGGCCCCCAGTCCCCGGCGGCCCCGCTATTCCTGGCTACGGTGGCAACCATGGTAACGGCGGGGCAAGGGGTGCTAAGAATCTCCGGTGGAGGTTCGGTTGCCACCTTAGACGACTCGACCTGGCAACGTACAACGCACGCACCCTGAGGACTGACGAGAAGATCGTGGAGCTGGAAGAAGAGATAGACAAGTTGCGCTGGCATATTATAGGATTATCCGAAGTCCGAAGAGAGGGGGAGGACACGGTAATCCTCGAATCCGGCAACTTGCTCTATCACCGGGAGGGCGACCATCTGTCCCAAGGAGGTGTCGGATTTATCGTCCACAAGTCTCTCGTTAACAACGTTGTAAAGATCGGGAGTGTGTCGACGAGGGTTGCGTACCTTATACTCAGAATTACCAAACGGTATTCGCTGAAGGTCATACAGGTTTACGCACCAACCTCGGCACACCCCGATGAGGAGGTGGAGGAAATGTATGAGGATATCTCTAGAGCCATGCATTCCTCCAAAACCCAATATACGGTGTTAATGGGAGACTTCAATGCAAAACTAGGCACAAGAGAGAACGGTGAGCTGAAAGTAGGGAAATTTGGAATAGGGCAACGGAACCCAAGGGGCCAGCAGCTGGCCGACTTCATGGAGAAAGAGGGACTCTTTATGATGAACTCTTTCTTCCAAAAGCGGCCCCACAGGAAGTGGACCTGGTCGAGCCCCGACGGTTCCACAAAAAATGAGATTGACTTCATTATGACGACCAGACGACAACTGTTCAGTGATGTCTCCGTGATCGCGAGGGTGAAAACTGGTAGCGATCACCGAATGGTTAGAGGCACACTGAACCTAAACGTTAAGTTGGAGAGGTCTCGTCTAATGAAGTCAACGCTCCGTCCCCCTCGTGCTCTGTTCCAAAGTCCCGAAACCTTTCAGCTCGAGTTACAAAACCGTTTTCAGTGCCTGGAAGACTGCAATGAAGTGGACGATATGAATGACAAGCTCGTGGAAACTGTCCATGCGGTCGGAGCTAAGTTCTGCAAGACCCGCCGCAGAAGAACACAAAAACTCTCCGATCACACTCTTAATCTCATGGCTGTTAGACGGGAGATGAAGCTACATTCTTCAACAGACTTGACTGCATACAGGCATCTGAACAGACAGATCTCCAAATGCATGCGGCGGGACTTACGCAACTTCAATACAGCTCGTATTGAAGAAGCGATCGAGCGGAACCAAGGCTCCAAAGTCTTTGCCAGAGATCTGTCTGCCAGAAAGAGCCAACTGTCAAAGCTGAAGACAGAATGTGGCAGCATCGTTTCCGGGACACCTGAGATTTTGAGTGATTCTATGGGCAGCTGTACACATCATCGTTGGAGCCACACGCAAGTGTGAGTAACGATCCAAGAACGAGTCTCATCCGACACTATTCCGAAGATATCCCGGATGTCAGTCTGAGCGAGATTAGGATGGCTCTCCAGCACCTTAAAAACGGTAAGGCCCCAGGCGAGGATGGAATTACAGCGGAGCTTCTGAAAGCGGGTGGAAGACCGGTACTTGAAGTCCTTCAGAAGCTCTTTAATTCTGTCCTCCATGGTGGCATTAGCAGAATGGAGGTGGAGGCGTGGAGCAGAAGTGCGGTGGTCTTGTTCTTCAAGAAAGGTGACAACGCTCTCTTGAAGAACTACAGACCGATTTCCCTTCTGAGCCGCGTCTACGTGCTGTTTTCGAGAGTCATTACGAATCGTCTCGCGCGCAGACTTGACGACTTCCAGCCTCCCGAACAAGCCGGTTTCCGAAAGGGCTTTAGCACCATAGACCACATACATACCCTTCGGCAAGTTGTACAGAAGTCCGAAGAGTACAATTTGCCACTATGTCTGGCGTATGTGGACTATGAGAAAGCCTTTGATTCCGTCGAAATTTGGGCGGTGCTGCAGTCCCTTCAGCGGTGCCAAGTTGACTGTCGGTATATCGAAGTGTTGAAGTGCTTGTACAGTAGGGCTACGATGGCTATCCGAGTACAGAACCAGAATACGAAACCTATCCAATTGCAGAGAGGTGTAAGACAGGGTGACGTCATATCCCCGAAACTCTTCACCGCTGCATTGGAAGACGTTTTCAAGCTTCTGGACTGGAAAGGATACGGTATCAACATCAATGGCGAGTACATCACTCACCTTCGATTTGCCGACGATATAGTCCTTATGGCAGAATCGCTGGAGGACCTAAGCACTATGCTCAATGACCTCAATAGTGTTTCCCAACGGATAGGTCTTAAGATGAACATGGACAAAACAAAGATCATGTTTAATGTCCATGTCACACCTATGCCGGTAGTTGTTGGGAGCACTAAGCTCGAAGTTGTTGACGAGTATGTTTACCTGGGACAAATAGTCCGACTAGGTAAGTCCAACTTCGACCGAGAGGTCAATCGACGGATTCAACTCGGCTGGGCAGCGTTCGGGAAGCTACGACACATCTTCTCGTCAGACATACCTCAAAACCTTAAAACGAAATTGTACAACCAGTGCGTGTTGCCAGTGATGACTTACGGAACTGAGACGTGGTCCTTCACTGCTGGCCGTATGAGGAAGCTCAAGGTCGCTCAGCGAGCTATGGAGAGGGCTATGCTCGGAGTTTCTCTGCGTGATAAACTTAGGAATGAGGATATCCGCAGTAGAACCAGAGTGACCGACATAGCCCAAAGGATTAGTAAGCTGAAGTGGCAGTGGGCCGGCCATATAGCTCGAAGAACCGACAACCGATGTGGAAGAAAGGTTCTCGAGTGGCAGCCTCGTACCGGTAGGCGAAGTGTAGGGCGTCCCCCCACGAGATGGAGTGACGACCTGGTAAGACATGCAGGAAGTCGATGGATGCAGGTGGCTCAGGACCGTGCTTTGTGGCATTCTTTGGGGGAGGCCTATGTTCAGCAGTGGACGTTCAGGAGTTGTGAAGGGCTGTAATGATGAATGATGATGATGAACATGAGGACAGGCATGACCCAACCGTATATCTGCGTTTGTATTATTTACGACCGACAAAAGTCTGTTAAGGACTTTGGTCAAGCGTGCATAAATCTGACTGTTTTATACCCGCCTCATCTATACCAATGTTCTGTGACATACCCAGGTATCGGTATGTGTCAGCCTCGGAAAGGGTCCTTATGTTGATGGGCATAGGTGAGTCGATTCCCTCAGAGTTAGCAACCCTACCCCTTTCAACATGGAAGGCCGCACACTTATCCGTCCCCAGTTCCATTCTGATTGAATTGCTTAACTCATAAGTGATGTTCAGCAATTACATAAGATGGGAGTGTACTGGGGGCTAATAACTTGAGGTCATCCATATAGAAAAGGTGGGTCACTTTCGTACCTCCTTTACGAAGCTGAAATCCCCTCCCGGATTCCTCCAGTAAGGTACTGAGAAGGTTCAGGGAGAGGCAAAACCAGATTGGGCTCAAACAATCGCTCTGGAAGATACCCCTTCATATCCTTATGCGGCTTTCCGCATCCGTCATCCGCTCGCCTAGATGACAAAGGATTGTACTCCATTGCCCCATACACTGCCTGAGTAAGGCTGTAACTGTACAGTCAACCTTACACAGCTCGAGGACCCTCTTTAACCATGTAAAGTTCCGACGGTGACATTTAACCACTTTCATATTGACCGCGTCAATGAGGAGTGGTTCCTTGGTTCCACAACCACCGCCCCGACATACATTTTGAGCGCGCGACATCACCTGATTTGAGTTCAGGTGACGAGTGATTCTCGCGTTCAAAATGGATGTTAGTGTCTTGTATATGGTAGGTAGACACGTTATGGGGCGGTATTTGCTTGGGTCTGTGGTATCTTGGTCTTTATGAACCAAATGTTCGATCCCAGCTGTGAAGAGGCTTGGGAGCGACTTCTGGTCGAGAGCGACTTGAAACTGTCAGGCGAGCACAGCGTAACACACCACGAACCCCTTCAGCCAGTAGTGATGCAGTTCGTCGAGCCCCGGACTTTTCCAGTTCGGGGCCCGTCATACCGCTTCAGCTACGTCGTACGGCGTTATAATGACGGAGTTCATGGGCGTAACATTCGCACACTGACTCGCCACAACTTCCGTCCAAGGGCCCTTGCTGTGGTTTACGGGCTCTAACCACAGGCCGAGCAAGAATGCGAAAGTGTCAGCCTGATTCGGTGCTTTGCCCGTTCTACGTACCATTGGTCGCTCCAATGATTTATAGAGCCTCTTCTGATTACTCTGGAAGAGATGATTCTGGTTGAACCGTGTTGACCTCTCTCCGTGTCAATTCTCTGCTTCAGGTCGTCTATGCGCTCCGTTAGTTTTTGCATTATATTCGGCTGGGACAAACTCATATTTATCCCAGCAAACGCCATCCTGACGGTGCTCACAATTCTCTGCCTATTGTTGTCTGACCTGGAGCTTATCATTCTGCAGATGAGGATGCTTGCCTTTGCGATACGGTCCTCAATCCTTCTTTTCCTGGCTCTGATAGCGCTACTTTGCTCAGTAGCACGTCCAGACGTGAGAAGTTTGGCACGAACAATGCGGCAAACTGCAAAAGCGGCGTCAAAGAGTATTGAGTCCGTATCGCAAAGGTCCCGACTGGTTTCCAAGTAAATTGCCAGTAATGGGTTCGGGGCCGTCACGACATCCCGATTCCGCTTGATTTTCCACAATCGCCTCCTCTAATTTAGTCCTCATCTGCTCTAGTTCGTGGATGACCATTCCATCAACGCCTAAAGCAACCAGATCGGGAAGATCAATGGCAGCCTTCACATCTGGCTGCTGGTCTGTGGCCTGAGGAACCGCATCCCCAGCTATAGCCGGTTCATTCATTGAGGGAATAGCCTCACGCCGTAGTGGTTCGAGTTCGGCATCATCAAATATTTTCGAGCGCAATATGTACCGAACTCGGTCTGCCAGGTTTTGCTCTGTGACGGGAACAGACGGCTCTAGCTCATCAAAGAGGCGATGCATCCGAGACCGATACGCTATTCCTTCAGTTTCTTCCACTTTGCCCTATAGTACGCCCACAAAGCGTGTGTTCACATCTTTATTCCAACGCATGCGGCGTTGTCCACTGGCGGGGGGTACCGCTTGCCGAATCCGGGAGGACCCTGCCGACACCAAGCCATCTGGTGGGGATGATGGTTGCGAGGGGCTGCTAGGTGGTCCCCAGGCAGCGGCCCTATGCGCGTTCTATTTTTTTCCATCATCCATAAAATGGGCGTCAATTAACGGGAGACATCCAGGCCCGGCACCGTTTCATGGTGTGACCTTAAGAATAAACGGGCCTTTGCGGGTGCAAAGGCTCGTTTATTCTGCCGAGGCACGGTGCTCACATCTTTTTTTTTTATACGATAAGGGTGACAAACGAGCACACAGTCCACCTGATGGTAAGTGGTTGCTGCGGCCCATAGACATCTACATCTATCCTCTATTACAAATCAAAATGTAGATGCGTTACCTCTTGACAAGGCGTTGACTGACTGAGCCGACGTAGTAGTATTGTTACTTAACTGTTACGTCAGTGGACGATGGGGTCATCACTTCCCTACGCCATGTATTATTATATTATATTTATTATTATTATTCACAAAGAAGACAATAGATTACGGTAGTATCTCAAGATTACAAAACAAATGAAATGATGACAGCACGTTTCCATTAACTCATTAATAGTTCATGTGCACATTTAACTGAAAATCGTAATACTTTTATGTATCAAAATCTAAGTTGAAATTAAATAAAGATAATTTCAGCAAAATTATAGCTATACTCGTAAATTGTTAACAACTTAATAACTTAAATATTCACATAATTATTATATATTATATGAACATTAATTCTTAATATAAGTTTTTGTAAATTCATTTTGACAAAAGACATAGCTAATGCGTAACACAATAAATGAAACAAATGTAATAAATGAATTCAGTCAGTGCTTTGCAAACACTTCTGCTTACAGTTTGCTTGCATTTTTGTATCATTCCGCTTTTGAATACAGCTGACCTAATAACTAAATTAATATATCGTGTTATTTTTTTTTTCACAGAGACATTGCAGCCCGCAATTGTGTCATCACATCTCAGTTGCATCTGAAGTTATCTTTCCCGGCGTTAACTCGCGGACCTAATTCGCACGAATATTACAAACTGCATGATCAGGTGAATAATTTTACGGTTTCAACGGTACGGTTAACAGTTGAGAAAGATACCACTCGATGTTTTGTGTTGTTACCCACATGTTTTACGATTAAAAAAAAACTGTATTTTTCTCCAGGTTATCCCGTTAAGATGGCTACCATCGGAAGCCGTGTTAGAAGGCGATTATTCAACAAAGTCCGACGTGTATATGTTCGCCGCTACAGTTTGGGAGGTAACTTGCAATAAGCTCATTAAATATGTTAAAAATTTCACCTACCCTCCCTCATCTGTCGTCTATTACGACATCTACGGGGCGATATGACGGCGCAGATACCACCGCCCCTATACGGTAGACCGATACCACAGTTTTAATGCCTAACAGTTGTGAAACGCCTTTGATGTCCGGTGATGCCGCCGCCCGCGTAGTTTTTTACGCGGCCAGCGTATGTGATATTATATATACTAGATATTATATATAATTTTGGATATTATAATACTCATTATCATTTATTAACATTATGTACATATAAGTTAAAAATACATTTATTGAACAAGATCATTTTTATTAATACAAGAAAAAATACATGAACAAGTGTTGCACTGCCAAATATTTTAGTGACACTTTCTTCTTATAGATGTTTTCAGTTTTCGATTGTTAAATTTACTTATGTAGTGTATTCGCATTCGGGTAAACAATTTTATCAAAAAAACTTAAGCATAGCCGTCATTTGAATTCAATTTTACTTAGTATCTCATATAACTACAACAGTAATTCACCATTCACGCAAATAAATTAAAATGGTTCACACTACATGTGTGGTAAAAAACTGTGGGTCGTACTCATAAATTATGATAAGGGATTGGTTTCATCAGTTTCCACGTACTACCCGTGCGGTTAAAGAATGGGATTGAAAATGGCGTCGCCTCTATTCACCTCTCGCTCGCAAACTGTCGCTATCTATACTCACACCCGCCGGTAAAGACTACAAAAAAATTATGTTGTATATATTTCGTACGTTCTATAACTTCAGTCCAATTTGGAATCAATTATAACAAAATGCTATAAACTACAAAATAAAAATTCAGTGCGGTTTTGCAATTTGTGAGCTAGACGCGTTTTGTGAGTTTTCTCTTCTTCTATACACATAAATAAAATTGAAGTGTCTGTTTGTAATATCAAAAACAGCTTTTTACTAAATGCATATGAAAGTTTATACGGTACTAATAACAAAAAAAAAACTATTTATAAAATTTTTGTCTGTCTGTCTGTTTGTTACAGCTAATCTCCAAAACGGCTTTTGACAAGACTTTCACTGGCAGATAGCTAATGTTATAAGGAGTAACTTAGGCTTCTTTTACTGTAGAAAAAGAATTACACACGTGGCAGAGCTATGCTGTAGCTATGTTGTGGTTGTAGCACGAGTGGGTCGGCTCGACCTGGGTAGGACCACGCTCTCATAGAATACCAGCGTAAAATAGCAGCTCAATGCTGCTGTGTTTCGTATGGTGAGTAGAAAATCGAAAACTCTTTTTACTGGAAACGAGGCACTCCATCTTAGTCCTCAGGGGTGACAACGCATCTGCATTTTGATTATTGATGGAGGATAAATGTAGTTGTCTATAGGCCACAGCATGCACTTACCATCAGATGGACTGTGTGCTCGTTTGTCACCCTCATTCTATAACAAAAAAAAAAAGAATTAGGGTTCCGCACAAAAAATGAAAAACCCATGAAACTCAATCGTAATAAAAATTCTACGCGAGCGACAGCTAGTAATTACATATATTTTGTTTGTTAATATTTTTGCATAAAACATTTACATGCTATTGAGACATGAGTAATAATTTTTAAAATTTTTGTTTGTCTATCTGTCCGAACTAATCTTCGGAATGGCTAAACCAATTTTAGTAAAAATTCACGAAGAAATAAAGAGTAATACCAGGAGTGATCTTGACTAAATTTTATCCGAAAAATTTAGAGACGTTATTAAAATAGAAATATCGATAATATGAAATAAATGGTCGGTAATAATTATCTTAAGCCTAAGTAATAGGCACTATATATAGCCACATTAATAGATCCCACCTAGGCGAAGCCAGGGCAGGTCGCTATTTATAAATTTTATTTTAAAATTTATGTTCCTACTTGCGTACACAATTCTCTTCAAATATTTTCCCATTAATAGAAAATTTCCAGTTAACCGAATAATATAACGTTATAACGATATACCGTTATTAGCGAGTTTTTGCTATTGTTACTGTGCATGTTGACGGTACGGGCTGGACGAGCCGCCATTTCTAATCCCATTCTTTATCCGTACGGACTATAAACATTAATTTGATTAAACGTGAAATAAAATAAAATCAGTTTTTTATTTTTTATTATTTGCCGTTCTGACAACCCTAACGATTTATTGTTGGCTTTTCGGAAAACATCATACGCGATTACTAACTGCATGTTCTTCTTAGGCTGTGCCGCCATTATACGGTAAACACTCAAATATATTACTATTTAAATACATCGATATCGGAATTGTGACACGAAGCAGTATCAAAAGGCGTGAGACATCTCGTTATGTAGTCACAAGTCCACCTGCCAAGTGTCGTGATTAAGAAAAATCCTTTCTTTTATGGGAGAACTGTAACTACTAACTTTTACGGGCTGTTGAAGACGAAGGATTTTTTTTATATGTGTTAGAGCCATGTTCTCAGATAATGCCAGCGTGAAATAGCAGCTCAATACTGCTGGGTTTCGTATGGTGAGTGTAGAGAACCGGAGGCCCTTTTTACTGGAAACGAGAGATTCCATCTTAGTCCTCAGGGGTGACAACGCATCTTTTTTTTTTTATAGAATAAGACTGACAAACGAGTACACAGTCCACCTGATAGTAAGTGGTTACTGTGGCCCATAGACATCTACATCTATCTTCGTTTGCGAATTAAAATGAAGATGCGTTGTCAGCCGTGAGGACTAAGATAGAATGCCTCTTTTTCAGTAAAATGGGTCTCCGGTTCTCTACACTCACCATACGAAACACAGCAGCATTAAGCTGCTATTTTACGCTGGTATTCTGTGAGAGCGTGGTCCTTCCCCGGTCGAGCCGACCCATTCGTGCTACAACTATACTATTAATATAGCTGCAGTATGGCTCTACCACGTAAAAAAACCATATTGATTATTATTCGATGATAGATGTAGACGTATATAGGCCACAGCATCCACTTACAATTAGGTGGGCTGTGTGCTCGCTTGTTACCCTTTTTCTGCTAAAAATTTCTGAAGGTCTTCACCAAAAATGTTGACAACATTTATGTTTCCGACTGTTGACAAATCAACAAAAGTTGACGACATTTGTTTCAAAATGTTGCAAGAAGCGTCTCCACCGAGGGAACAAATGTCGGCAACAAGCGTATTCCTTTGATTTTGCCGCCGAAAATGGAAACACGACTCCCGACATTGTTTCGTTTTGTTGCTAAAACTAGGTGATTACAGAAACATTTGTCGGCAACACGTGTTGACAAATGTTGAAAACTTTGGTGGAGACGCGCCATAAGAGCCAAGCTTATTCTTCCAGTCTGGGAAGATCGCCCAAAAGTAATGTGTTTATAGAATGATGATGTCTATTCTTTTTGTTCCAGATATACACCAAAGCTGAACTGCCGTTCGCAAAATTAAATGATAATTCTGTACTGGAAAGACTGAAGACGGGCAAACAAGAATGGGTCACACCCAGCTCGATGCCTGAGAGGCTTGCTTCTTTGCTTGTAAGTTTATTTACTTATTTTTTTTTCATCCGCCTTTTTCAGTCACTATCAAATAGGCATTTAACAGAATACCATCTAATATCTTCATTGAAACAACCAATATTATCAAATTCTTTAGTAATCCCATGATTCGAATCTGGCATTATAAGTGAACTCTGAGAAGCGTATTTTTTTTTATAGGAGAGGGGGCAAACGAGCATGCGGCTCACTTGATGGTAAGTGACTACCGCCGCCCATGAACAACTGCAACACCAGGGAGGGAATTGCAGATGCGTTGCCGGCCTTTTAAAAAGGAGTACGCTCTTTTCTTGAAGGTCCCTAAGTCGTATCGGTCGGGAAAAATCGCTGATGGTAATCGATTCCACAAGGAAGTCGTGCGAGGAAGAAAACATCTTCTAAATCGCACAGTGGTGGACCGCCAATCATCCAGATGGTGTGGATGGTATCGGGAGTTCTGCCGCGATGTGCGTTCGTGAAATTTGGCGGCTGGGATTAATCCGAACAATTGTGTATGAAGCAGCATTCATCAAAATATTTCTTATTTATTTATTATAACCGGCTACACGGTTTTCTGCCAGAGGAATCACGAAATATCAACAAGTGTTATTAAATTTAAAAAATATATCAAAAAGAGTTAGCACAATGTTTCAATCTGAAATGATGACAGTAAATATAATTGATTATGTAAATATTCTGCTAAGCTAGGCCTATTTATGATTTGAAAGTGTTTATTTTTCTTAACAGAAACGCTGTTGGAGTCATTCTCCCGCGGATCGTCCACAGTTCACGGAAATTTGCGAAGAAGTGAGCGCTGTCTTGCAGGAGATAACCGCGGAGAACGCATCGCAACACTCACAGACAGTGGAAGTGCAAAAAGAATGAGAGAAATATATAAAAAGACCCGTACCGTCAACGTAAAAGTATTTATAAAATTTAATTGTACATAGTGTGTTGCTTAGACGACTTTTTGAGACTTTTTAATTTTTTTTTAACAATTTACATATTTTTTCAGAACAGTATTCCCGTAAAATTTGACCTTGTGTATAAGGTTTTATAATTTTAATACTAAATTAAATGTTTATTTATTTTTAATGTATATAATACTTGATTTATTCGATGAAATCGGTCTTTATGCCAATAATTTGAATCATTTTTGCAAAGTAATACGTATACATGAAGTGTAGTACTGGTAATTAGAATTAGTTACTTTAAATCTAAGCATTCGTACATGCACAACTGATGTACCATGCTCGTCTCTGTACCATTAACTAGAAAAACTGAATGCATAACATAAAGGATTAATAAATCCATGTCTGTCAGCTTTAACAAATTTTAAAATTTAAAATAAAATAGCGGTTAAAACACCTTTAAAGCTAGCAGTTTATTTTGATTATTGATTATATAAAAAAAATTTAAATTTGTGTCATAGACTTCAGCTTTTTCAGTTACTTTCATGAAAATACTCTAAATAAATTTTTATTCATTAATCCATTGCTCGTAATAGGAGCTAATAAATTTATCACTTAATTTTAAGATCGAGTTAGTTTTTGCTAACTGTACTCAAAGCTATAGACTTAGTGAGTTAATTTATTACTTACGTGACAACTTTCTAGTATTAGAACTTAGTCATTTTGATGCATTTACAACTTTTACTGTATTTAGTGTAACTTAGGTATTAATTAATATGATTAGTTTGAGAATATTCACTGACAGAAGCCATTTTACTGTCAAAATCTATAAGTCAATTTGACACGTTTTTAGATTATTGTATATTGTCATTTTAAATCTCAAAATTAATAGTGACATTTTATTAACATAATTAGGAAATAAAAGATAATTTAAATTGATAAAACGGTTTGGATAAACTCAACTTTTTGTTGATACAAATAAAGTCTGTAGTCGCGTAAGAGACTATTAATTAGTACGTAATATTAATTTAATTAGTGTGTAAGCAAAACTCGAAAGCTACACGATACTGCCATTGATGTAAATAAAAAATTTCTAGTATTTAAGACTGATTTGTAGCCATGTTAGATTTAAGGTTATATTAGAGTTTTCGTCCGGTATATATAATATGTAAACTGCACGTCCCGATACAATCGAAATTATTAGCGATAATTTAGTGTAGATTGTTCATAGGGTTGTATTTATTTCTATCGAATATCGATACAAAGTTTTTTGAATGTGAAATATCGAAAAAAGATGTAGCAATTACATATTTCAACCCATCACTTTAGTGCATTGTTAAAATAAGATTCAACCATAGACAACGTCGTAAGTTTATTATCCATAGTGACCATATTGGCAGGTAGCGCTTATGCAAGTTAGGTGAAATAACGAAATAAAAAAAATGAATTCTAAAGCCCAACACTCCAGTGCATAGTCCATCGTACTAACAAGTTTCAATCATAGACTAAAGTCATTGGTAGGTACATTTTTATACATTGAGGTAAGACTGACAAACGAACACACATTCCAGTATTGCCTATTTTACTTATTTTTAACCGACTTCAAAAAGGAGGAGATTTTCAATTTGAGAGTTTTTTTTGTATGTACATGACGTGATATCTTCGCAGATTGTGAACAAATTTTGATGATTATTTTTTTTATTAAATATGTTATACTTCAAGGGTTGTCCTATATAAATTTGGAGAAAAAATTTCACCTCTGAGGTTAGCAAATAAATAACTGCATTTTTAGCAATTTGAAGTTGGTTTTTACTTTTTGTTAAAAGTTATAATTATGTAGAGTTAATTTGATTAGTTAGCTCTCACTATAGAGTCGAATTTTTAAGAGCATGGGAAGAAATCGCTAATATCGCATAATCAGTTTTACAGAAATCATGTATTTCCAAAAATTTTTTTGCCTAGGTTGATTCATAGTCAGGACGTGAAGAATGAAAATTTGTTTATATTCGTGATAATTTTAAATTTTGTGGCAGTCCTTGTGTGCGGCCTTTGTTCAGTAGTGGACTTGTAAAAGACTGTACTGATGATGATAATGATTTAAAATGAATATAAAATATATTGAAAACTTTATATCGGTATTCAATATTGTTTTTGCAACTCTATACGGTGACTTCACAATTCTTTGGTCTGTTTGTGTAAAACTATAAATAAATTTAAAAATATCGATAAAGCTACAACGCAAGTGTCACCCTTTCGGATTAATGGAATTTCTCATGAATGTCAATCAGTGCCGTATCAATAAACGGAATGCCTAATTTCCAGTAAAAAGTGTATCTGGTTCTTTACACTCACCATACGAAACACTGCAACGTTACGCTGGTATTCTGTGAGAGCGTGGTCCTTCCCCGGTCAAGCCGACAGCAGCCACAGTCAAACTGCATCGTGGCTTAATCACGTATAAATGCCAATCATTACTCCTGTATTTTGTTTTTATGCCTGTTACTACAGAACTTTTTTCTAGGTGAACCGATTTTGATGATTCTTTTTTATTTCAAAGCTGGTGATTTGCTTTTGCTTTGTGGTCCCATATAAATTCGATCAAGGTCTGACCAGCAGTTTTCTAGTTATCCTTAATAATGCGTATTTAATTGACTTCGACTACATTGATGATGTTCGCATTTTATTTATATTGAAGTCAGTTATACGAAACTTTTAATTTTACCACTTGTATCGATACTACTTGTTACATCGACGATATCTAAAATTTGTACCATAAAGGTTGTGAAGTTAACCAAAACTACCCCCATTCGGTGCCATTTCTCACTGAGTAATCAAGTGGAAAACAATTTGTATTAAATTTGAATTTGTATATTAATCGATACCAGAACATGCATTTATAGGCTAGTATTAACTATGAGGAAATTTTAGAATGACTAAGGTGCTTGTATTACCTAAGGGTCTCTATAGTTTCCTTGTAGGCGTAAGTTTAGTTTAGTTTGGTTAGGTTACTTAGAAATATATCCTAACTACTCTTATTGTAATTTATAATTTTTGTCTTAATTTTCGTGTATTAACGATCTCCAAATATTCGCTTTAAAGTGTCGCTGCATGTTTATTTTCGGATGTTTTTGGTTGTGTAATTACGCTGATTATTTTTATTTTTACTATCTTTAATATTATAACACTGGCAGGATCAGTTAATAACTTTTGAATTATTAAGTAATACTACACAACGTAAATTACCCGCAAATTATCTCAGTAAATCCCAAATTAAGCGTTAAACATTACTTCACTTTGAAAATAACATTAATAATTCAAAGAAAACATATTAAAGTATTATTAGAAAGAGTCATGTCCTTAGAGTATACATAAGCAATGTGTATTACTCTATGTTATGGATCTTAGAGTATTGTCCGATGCATGCGTAAATAGCTAAATATAAAGGATAACGACTCTGCATGGGTCGTCTAACAATCTAATATTCTATGTGTCGAGGGGTAATTCAAATAGACTGTAATCAATTGAAATGCTCTTATTAGAAAAGGCCATGTTCTTAGAGTGTACATAAGCAATGTGTATACTCTATGCCATGACCTTAGAGTATACATAAGCAATGTATATACTCAATGTTATGATCTTAGAGTATACGTTGCTTATATATACTCTAAAGTCATGACATATTTAATAACGACTACATGTATTGTCTAACCCACCAACATTCGAAGTGTGGAGGAGTAGTTCAAATGTTGTTAATCTCAATGTATTTGGCATCCAAGGTCATGGTTTTGATTTTGAATTACGTACGCTGAGTGATTCTTGATGGTCCGAATGATTTGGTGTTTGCCGGTTTGACGATCGTATAGTGTAAATCTTTAGTCCAGTATAAGTATTTATTTAGTCTAATGCCGGTGCCATGTCTATTGATCTGACATCTTTGTCATTGTGTTACTTATTTCTTCGTCCTGAAGAAACATTTTTAAAATTAAACATGTGCAATTTTCAATTAAAATATTTACCGAAATACAAACATTTTAGGATTTATTATACTTTATTACGTAGTTTCTAAATGTATTATTCGAAACATAGTTTTATGTCGATTGTAAATCGACAAGCGGTAGATTAGATTTTTATATGTGTAGTACTAGAAAAATTAGTAATAATTAAATAAGGCTCTTTAACACTTGCGACTTAGTCGTGCGACTGTTAACCGCAAGTATGTTGTCTCAAGTTTTAGTTATAACGTGTCAATTTCGTAATTAAAAAATGTTAAGGAAATCAATTGCCTTAAATGATCGAAACATTTTTGTCTGCTTTTCAGTGTCTGTCAATCAATGGTGCATTCGTAAAGGCATGCACTATTAATGCAAGGAAAGTCAGTAATGCCATTTCACTTTAATCTGGTGAGCATTTATTAAGGAACGCAGTATGTTGCGCCGTAGTTTCGATAGAGTTATTATTTATTTTATACTATAAAATAATACCTTAAGATCTATTTATCTTTATGCATATTGAATGTTTCTATAACACTTATGAATTTGTATGTATAATTTTTAAATGGCTATTAAAATTTTACAGTGTTGGAAATAAAATTGTAAACCATTGGTTAAGGATGTTTAAAAAATTACTGGCCATTAATCAACGCCTAATTTTGTACGGTCACAAAATATTTTAGCATTTAATTTTATTTTTGTAAAATCTGTGGGTAAAGTTGCACGAATACGCGGTATTGTTACTAATGTGCAATTAAAGTAAAAATATCTAAGCTTTGGTGAAACTTAAATAGAAGATTAAATGTAATAGTTATACCGGTGATATTTATTACTGTAAAGAAAAGACACGGTGTAAGTGAACGAAGAACGTATGGCATTGAGGTTTTTTAAAATATTTGATTTAAAAAAAGAAATAAATACCGATTAAAATTAACTAAATGGAAGACATGTGTACTCTTCTTTACGTGCAAGCAATTAGCGTGAC